TGGGACAGGACGACAAGACTGCACTTAGTGCGGAAGTCGCAGAGTCAAAGTTAGAGAAAACTACTCAATGGTATTACCTTCATCGTGAAAATAGTGTCGGGTGGGTAGTATGGTCCTAAATATGTAAACATAGTAAGAGTCGTTGGCTCCGGGGATCATAGGGCGCCTTCGCTCTCTTGAATGCAAAACGGGCTGCATATTCTCTTAATGGGTATACACTTTGCCAGTGGTAAGGCGTATGCATTGTCGTTTGGTGATGGTGTATGCACTCGCAATTGCAGTTGCGTTGGTACTTCCAGTTCATATGCGCATGCATATAGTGCCATTGGACCGTGTTCGGCTAAACTCAACCGGTGGCTAAGAGCCTTCTACAGATAGATTACACTTCATGTTGCACTGCCTGCTGCGTCCAGCAATTTTCTTGCATCCCGGTAAGGATGGGAGGGCGCAAGATCAGCAATATTTGCTTACATATCCGCAGCAGAAGTGCCACTTTATACAATCTGGTCTCCGGCTTTCATGTCTAGAATGAGATGGGTTGATCAACAACGTAATCGAATAGATATCTGTTCTGGACCTTGGGGGCTAGTATGAAACCGAGCACCTAACAGAACGCTTCTTACAAGCTCCTCATGTTGTAATCGCTTGTTGCGGTTCTCTGCCATTTTGTTTCTGCTATGAATGGGCCCTTTTGTTGGGTTGACTTGAAACGCACGGGATGAAAGCGGCAAGCTGCTGCGACGCATTTGTCTACAGCTGGCTCCGTTCGTGCCTCCATTGCCTCTACTGTCGCGTCCTGGAAATGCCGGAGACCGAGAATAGTTTGCGCAGATTCTTAAACACGCTGAATTAAAACATAGATTCGGATGCCACGGCAGGAACTCTACAGGCATCTTGATGGTGTTCACGTTTCTGTCCAAACTAGCCGAGAATCAGACTCGGAGACCTACCTCCGGATCGTGTGGAGTGACTTTTTCAGATGGCGACGGGCTCGGCGATTGCTTCATTTTCCTCCTGCTTTTGCGGCATTGTGTCGAGACTAGCATCTGTTGCCTCTGTCGCCACCACCTGCAAAAGCCGGAGACCTAGAGAAATATCGGCGAATTCCTGAACATACATACAACGACCAAGGCTACCAGACTCGGCAAGTACATCTGGATGTTTATGAAGTTCAAGCTTTTGCCCAAACTATTATGGGATCCTAGACCTACCCCGTTGCAAATGGCTTCCACAAGATCCAGGCCTCCGGCCAAAACAATTCTCGCCTCGAATCCCACGAAGACCTACTTTCGAGCTGTGGCAAGTGGCTTCCTCAGATGGCGTACGCCTCTGCTCTTGTCCAATCTCTTATGGCTCTTGCGGCGTGGTGCCCAACCGTGTCTCGAATTCCAGACTACTGGCCTCTGTTGCCTCTGCTGCCGCCTCCTGGACAAGCCGGAGACCGAGGTTAGTTTGCGCAAATCCATGAACACCTTGAACAGGACGAGAAAGGCGACTCGGCGTGCATCTAGATGTTTATGATGTTTATGCTTTTGCCAAAACTATTTGAGATCCAAGCTCAGTAGAGAGACCTCTGGATCATTGCAAGTGGCTTCAACATCTGCCGCCGGCCGTGGCTCTTGATCGAACTCCACACCAGCATGAGTTGCTGCCACTGCCGCCGCCCCTTGAAAAAGCCGGAGACCGAGATCACTTTGCGCCGAGTCATAAGGCGCCAGGATGTTCAAGATGTTTGAACTTTTGGCTAAACTATTCTGAGATCCAAGGTACCGAGGTATAGTGCCTTTGCTGCCGCCATCCAGACAAGCCGGGAACTGAACAAGGACCTTGGCGCGGCATCTGGATGTCTATGATGTTTAAGGTTTTGCCCAAACTATTCTGAGATCCGAGGTCAGTAGACCAGTGGACCTACCTCCGACCCGTTGCAAGTGGCTTCCACAGTTGGCTTCGGCCGTGGCTCTTGTTCGATCTCCAAACCAACATGTACAACTGCCTCTGCTGCCGCCTCCTAAAAGATGCCGGAGGCCGAGAAAGGTTTGCGCAAATCCATAAACACTATAATGCTATTAGACTCGGCAACGAATCGGACTGTTTATGATGTTTATGCTTTTGCCCACAGTATTCTGAGATTCGAGATCAGCCGACCTACCTGCCGGCCCGTCACGGGTGATTTCAGCATCCACCTCCAGCCGTGGCACTCGTTTCACACTTTCGCACCAACTGGCAACAGTGGGATGCGGTTTCTCACAGCGACGCGTGTTCAGGATGTTTGGAGTTTTGGACAAACTATTTTCAGGAGCGAAGGAGAAGGGGGCCCGTCGATGGGTTCTGTCAACGGGGTGCCCCTTCTCGATGTTTAATGTCCTTCATTTTAATATGATCAATTTTCTTATTAATAGAAAAAGAAAGACGTTAAAAATCCATAGTGCTATTGGAACTAGAGTGGCATTGACAGAACTCCGGTCCTCTCATTGGCTCTTGAGAATAGTTTGTCCAAAAGCTTAAACACCTTGAACATGATATCGAGAGGGTTTTGACGCTGCAGGCATCTTAATTGTGTTCAAGCTCTTGCCCAAAGTCTTTGTGGGTTCCAGAGTCAAAACCTACCTCCGAGTTGCAAACGGCTTCCACAGTCCCCGGCTCTTGCGGCATGGTGCCTACTGCCGCTGCCTCCTGGATCAGCCAGAGACCGAGATTAGTTTGCGCAAATTCATAAACATCCTGAACATGGGGCCTCGGCGGCTGCAAGACTTGGTGGGCCAATAGGTGGACCAAGCAAGTGGGTCTGGCAGGTGGGAACATCGATGATGTTCATGCTTTTGCCCAAACTGTTTCTGGGATTTTGAATCTTATACCTACCTCTGGATCGTCGCAGGTGGCTTCATCAGATGGCTCCAGCCGTGGCTCCTGTTCCATCTCCTCTAGCCCTTGCGACACGTTGCCCTTGTGACACGTCTCCGGCTCTACTGCCATCTTTCTCGACGCACCCTGGAAAAGGACCAGAGACCAAGAAAAGTTTGCGCCAATTCATAAACACATTGAACACGAGATGAGATGCTTTTAAACTCTGCAGGGTTCTTGATTGTGTTCATGCCTAAACGTTTCTGGGATCAAGAGCCGTATACCTACCTCTAGATCGTCGCCAGTGGCTTCCACATGTGGCGACCGCATCGGCTCTTCTTCCATCTCCATCGGCGGTTGCTCAAAGTTGTCCAGCCTCGTGGCCAGCTCTATACCACTCTCTCTTGCGCCATCTCAGGTCTTTGCCATCTGAAAAATCCCAAGAATAGTTTGTGCCAGTCCCTGAACATCTGAACACTGAATGGAAAGGTTTTACTACTATGCATGCATCTTGGCGGTGTTCAAGGTTTTGCCGAAAGTTTCTGAAAGTGGTGGTGAACTCACCACTTTGCAGACGGGTTTTTGTCGCTTGCTTTTCTTGGGCAACCTCGCTTTCGTGCGCTTTTTGCTCTCGACAGCGAGCACAACAGCCTCTAAGCTAGTGGTCATGCTACTCGCGTATTTGGGAGAAGTTGGCGAATAGACTTTCTTAGCTCCTGGAGCCATTTCTGGACTGTGATTTCCATCTCAAAAAGGCGGGGTTTCAATGCTTAGAACCGATGAGCGATGCCGAACTAGCTTGCGTCTGTTTTTGCTTCCGCCACAGTTTTGAAGCGTTTGCTAAGCTTGTAGTCTGGCATCTTGTGTGCCACCTTACGGCGCAGAACTGTGCTAGTCAGCAAGTATGATGATGAGTCGACTTTAGACGTCCAGAAAGGGTTCTGCACGAACGCTGTCGCCGGTGCAGCGCGACGGCGCCGAAAAAGCTTTGGTCAGAACCTTGAACATCTTGAACACACAGCCGAGTTGCCGGCCTTACCCCGGCAATGTACTCGGGGCGAACCGTTTTCGACGTGATGCGGCCGAGTATCGGGCCGGGGGGGGACACGCGGCGGCCATCGCGCGGCTGGTTTTTGTGGTGAACTTCATTTGGTTTGCTGGCATATGCTGCGCGGTATGCAGGACAAAGTGCAGGTTAGCAGACTACAGCCGTCGATATCCTGGTTTGAGTTTTGACGGCCAAATTAAGCCATCTCCGCGGATACCATCGGATGTGATCGGATGGTTGTACAATGATGTAATCGCTGCTAAATAGAGCGGAGAACCCGGACCGGCCGCAACGGCGCCACAACGGTACCGTACCGACTCGGACTGGCGGAGCTAGGTACCACGGACGCAGGACGGACCGGCCCATGGACATTCTTGGATCTCAGGGGCAATCTGTGTGCAAATTTGGCCGTGGAAACGCGTTTACCGGGGAAATGTGAATAAGCTGCGAAAAAGGGCCGACTCGGATCGACTTCGCAGCTTCGGAAGCGGCTGATTCCCGAGCGCCAAAGAAGTAGAAAATGAGACGAACCGGGCCAAAATAGGGTTGAATTATGGCCGGTTATTGACCCGGGGACTACTTTTGTATGATTTGGGAACTCGGCCTCGGCCGCATTTTGTACGTCACCCTTCGCTTCAAGTTCTTGTGCTTCAACAGTACAATGTACTGCTCGCTTGCACCTTGCTTCTGCCTAGGAATGGCGGGGGAATGGCGCTTCTTTAGCTAATACATGGTAACCTGAGGATACCTTAGGTTGTTGCAGTTTTAACATGGCCTTAGGGTTTTTGAACACTAAATAGATCTCAGGGAGATCTCAAAATCCACTGGACTCTGGTTGTAGCTGTACAGAGGTGGTGTTGTAAACGACTTGAAAACATGGTGGTGGTGCGCAGCAAGAAGGGCATGGCCTCCAGGCTGTCCATCGAGCAGGTGAGTGAACAGTAGCGACTTGCAACCTTCCGGTAGCTGTGGCTAATCGATCTGTTCTGCTAAGTTGGTAAGGTTGGTGGGCCATGTTAAACGGGTGCTAAGCTGTGGCGGCGTGGCGCACTGCATCAGCTCATCAGTTGCAAGCTGCCGAAGCATGTCTGCAATGTCTAGGAGAGAGGTTAAGGACAGAGGGTTTCAGTGGGCAATTGAATCCTGTCGGAAGTCCATGTCTGTTTGATGTGTCCGACGTGACATGTGCCTAGTCTGCGTTGTGCCCAGTCTGTTCATCTGTTTCGCCTTTCAAGGTTTCAACAGTTTTTCTTCCTTGGTTTGCAGATCTGAGCGGATTTGTAGGCCCTTACACAGTGCTTTCTTTTGAAGAAGGGGGCTGATTGCTGTGGCGATATGAGTGCCACATTTTATTCGCTGGTATGTCCACTAACCTGCAATGAAGCAGGCAAGCAGGGACCCATTTCAGATTACCAGTCCCCCCAAACCCCCAGATCCTTGTTGCCCTTTTACAGACGGATATTACATTGACTTGTATCACTGAGGTTGTGAGCGTCTTTGCTAAATCTGCGAGGTGAAGTAAAATGGTTCGCAATGGGGTTGCGGGCATCTCCCAACTGAGTGGCGTGCTTTTTGGGGTTTTGATTGGTGCACCTGCAGTGTTCCTTTACACGCACATTCATCTAGCGGTCACAGGCCAATCTTTGGCCGTTGTTGGAGCTAATGGGATGGTATTATCTCACTGGAGGGGGGCTTGGAGGAGGGCTTTGAACAGGTCATCTCTATGTCCTGAAGGTGAGTGACATTCTCAAAGTAGGACGCTTGCATTAGCAGACTCAAGAATGTCCCCACTTCCAGTATAGTTAGGATCTTGAAGGGGATGCTGCTCCGGTTTGTAGTCGTGCTTGACTGCTTGCTGTAGTGTGCTCAGTTGGGCTTGCCTTGGGAGGAATCCAATTCGGTGTTCTTAAAGAGGGCGTCAGATTTCGAAGCGCACTAGTAACATCTGAGTCCTTAGGGGACTCCCTCATCGGACGGACTAAATTGCATCTTGGAATTTGTCCCGAGCAACCAATATGCCTGGTTCCGCGGCACATGGTCGCCGAGGCGTGACGGGTCACGGGACGCCCCCTTTAAAATTTCCTACTCATCAAAGATTTTGAATGTCAAGTTCACGTCTTTTCATTGTCTAACATTGCAGAAGCTGGCAAGCGTGCAAGTGATACACTCGAGGCTGTTGCTTTGAGGTACCACTTGGCCATTATAGGGACTCCACATCGCAAGCACCTTTCCCGCTTTCTTCTTGAGACGATCCTCTCTGTCCACGCAAAAGAAGCACGGCCCACAACACTTTCGCTTGCTTGGGATGCGCATAATGGGAGCAAGCTTCCTAGCTATATAAAGAACCTGAGCCCGCAAGTCCATGTTCATAGCCTAGAAGCTGAAATCCCGGACCCTCCTTCTAACAGACCCGGAATTTCAAATGTTTACTCTGCGCTCCTCATCCCTGAGGAGGTTGGTATGCCAACATTGCCTTCGCTAATGATAGAGGGGGATATTATGCTCGTGGACGACTTCCACCTGTACCTTTCAAAAGTAGTGCAACTTGTCGAGTCAAAAATGGGTGGATTGGCCCACAGGAAGTACATGGTGACCTTGTATACTCCCATTGATTGGAGACGCATTGGACCCCTTCAACAAGTCTTGCAGGTTCGTCAAGGTCTTCGAATTAATGAATCAAGTTCGGCAAACATGTCAACCGTTGAGGGTCTTTCAGTAAACGATTGTTTCCCAGATAACTGGGATTATGGGACGCAAGGCGTCTTGGTTTCAGCTCAGGTTCGGAGTCCATTACGCGAGTTTTTAAAACCATACGCTTTGGGTGAACAAAAAACAGACTTGGGTATTGACCTGCTTTTCCATGAGTTTCTTCACAAGAACAACGATAGTGTCCTTTGTTTTAGTACGTCACCGTCCCTTGTAGAGCATATGGGCGTGTTGTCTGCCCTATTTGGAGAAAACCAACGTTTTCACATGAGCAAAGATTTCCCAAGAGAAGTGTCTCTACAGACCGATGAAGCTGGGGATGTCTAGAGATCCAATAGACGTAGAGCAGACTCTTCTTCAATCAAGCAGAATTCGCCTCGGAGTCGGTTTTCTCATTATTAGTCTTTCATGGTGAGCGTGATCGAGGGCTTCTTTGAGCATGTTGCCGCTCCCATGATTGCATAATTCACCCTCGTCATTCAGTCAAGGTGCCAATATGGTCACTATTTTAATCTTGGTCCAAGTTACAGATGCCTTTATGTCTTGCTACCTAGTAGCAGATGACTATGTTGCCGAGCAGCGCTTACAATTTAAGCATATGGCTGCTGAGAAAGCTCCGCTCACCATCTTACGAGCTACCGCGTTCCGACGTAATTGTCGTGACCGTCATGTTTGATGAGGGTACTCGAGCCGGTTTTAAGACTCGGAAGTACCATCAGACAATTTGTCTCATGGGCCACCACGACTGATCGATGCAATGCAATGCACTGGCACCAACGATGTGTATGCGGCGTTTTAAAAGAAATCTGCTGCTTGACATATATATAATCAATTAACATAGCTAATTAACACGTATACTGTCCGACACAGTAAGGATCCATCTCTACTTCCACTCGGCAGGCTGCTCGCAAATCTGAAGAGTTGTATTACGTCAGCAATCCAGCTTTCCGTTCACCTCAGTTGTTCACCCCCTTCCACGAAGACCGAGCACAATCAACACATTATAATTCGTTGATAAAGCAGACTAAAATCAATTTTGACAAGTGATCGAGTTGCAATCCTTCACGTACATAATCGATACTTTCGGAACGAGGGGCATGATAACAGACTCTATATGGACTCGCGCACCGTTGATGAACATGTATAAGATCGGACCGCGTCGTTGCAGCATGTGCATTTGTTGTACTCGCCGCCAGGCGGCACCAGTGATCAGTGCTCTTAACGATTTGTGCACCCTGAAGCCCGCTTTGGCGTCACACTGGCCGGTGTTGAACTTTAGGTTCATTCTTGTACAACTGTCACTATTGCGCGGCCTTATGCAAGCAATTGTGTGGCCCTTGACGTGTCATTATTACGAGAAGGTCGATACCGCTACGATGTGAAAATCGCATTCACCTGCTGGGTGTAAAGTCAAGTCTTGCCGTGCATCAGCGGTATCGACGTGCCTTGACAAGAAACATCAGACCTGCAGTTAGTAAGGACGACCCTCTCAAAATGCATGATCTTTACATAAGCTCCTCCGTTCCTATGTGACAGAAAAAGAGGCGATCACCTGTTTAGCGTGCGGACTGTAGAGGATAGACTGTCTTATTGCTTCCGACCTGAGACCTCTCTGAGACAACGAACTTTTTGACCAAGTTGTTCTAGACGTTGCTCGAACCCTTTCTACGAAGAATGATCTAGACGGTGCTCGAATCGTCACCGAGTCTTACAGTAGGTCTCAACCGTCCGATGAAAGGTCGTCTTCCGAATGCTCCGACGCTGTCGCCCAAGCCGGCCTCGCTTTTGGCAAAGACGGCCGGGTGCCCAACCGGGGCCCATGCTTGGCCTGCGCCTTGAACATCTGCAGCCGCTTCTCGGGGTCTGCAACCAAACGGAAAGAAGCGCTCCACAAGTTAAAAATCCGTCACATGCAATGAAAGAAAGGCCACGAAGGAAAAAACGAGGGGGCTCAAGAGAGCGCCAGCCCCCTCGTAAAGGTAGAAAGGTTTGGGGCTAAAAGCTGGCTTCTCGAATCTGCAAAGAGTCCATCCCGAAGAAGAACTGGACTTCTAACGAATTCTAAGTCGCCAATTGCGGACGAGAGCCGTCGGATAGGACTTCAAAATGCATCGTAGCGGAGTTTTGAGTGGAGCCGTCAGATAGTTGATTCCGAGAAGGGACTGGCTCATATTGTTTGATAAGCAAGTACTCGGAGTAGCAAAATCGGCCAAGCATAAGCAAACCTGCATATCGCCTCAACTCTCAACGACTCAACACATGTCGGGGCAAAGAAGCCCGCTAAGACTTTGTAAAGCAGGGGTTCTCGCAAGAGTAGCTGCTTGGCTTTCTTGGACAAGCGGAAAGAACTGGGGTGAAGCCTCCAGATTGCAAGTGCTCTTTTCGGGAATCTCGCGCTTAGGAGTCGAGATGGAGTCAAGATTACGTTTCCTTACCTTGCAAAGTCTTCTGGCGGCGTTCCAACTGACCGTTCCGCAGAAGACGGTCACGTGACCTCAGCGCGGCAGCCGCGGTGCCCTCGTCTTTGAAACCCCTGCACATACACGGACTTTGACGTCGGTTCAGTGGTAAGAGCGAGAGATCAACGATCTGTGAGTACGCCGAGGACGGTGTGAAGGCAGCAAATGACCGATGAATCTTCGTGTCGGGCGTGACATGACTTCAGACGAGAGGTAAGAATGATTCTGTCAGGAAGCGCGGATGCAAACGGACGAAAGGCAAGACGGAAGTAGGAAACAATGAATCTTTTCGGTAAGTTGTTTGCTCACCATTCTGTTGCAATCTCCGAGATACTCTGCCGCTGCTTCTCCAGCTTCCGCTGCGACCGGGGCACGTGGGGGCCACGTGGCGTGCTCTGAATGGACCCCCGCACGCTCGACTCCTCATCCAGCTGACGTGGGGTTGATTCGTTGGGGTCCTCAAGGTCGCCCAACGACCTTCCTCCTGGCTCCGAGAACCTTTTAGAGGTCCGCCAGGCTGGCTCCGGCTGCGAGGAACCTAAGCGGATATCCGGGAGCGAAAAGCGGCCCTCTCGCGCGTTTTCGCTGTGGCTGAACGAGTCGGACGATCGCGGGGGGGAGAGAGCAGGAAGCGGCACTATGCTGCTGGAGGGGCCATTCCCACTTGGCTTGTTGTGGGCAGGCGGGCTGGTGTGAATGGGCTGGAGCGGGGACCGTTCCCAAGCAGCAAAACCTGGTGACCCAAGCCTGTGGGAATCTGACGTCAGCTTTTGGGAGTGCTCTTCGAGAGTCGCCCTTTGCGACGTGTGTACAGTCGCAGGGCTGCCAAGTCCGTTCTCGTCCCCTTCCTTTCCGTTCCGGTTCCGCTCCGTCCCCATCAGCGGAGCCAGCTTCGTTATCAGCGGACTCCCCCTCACTTCCGGAAGGCCCGAACTCTCCCTAACCCGTCCGTCGCTCATGTCCCGTTGCTCACTTGCTTCTCTCGGATCCGCCGGCCCGACCCACCCGTGCTTCTTCACAACCAACGGCGGACCGGGTTTGTCGCCGCTTCCCACTCTAGTTAGCGCGGTGACCGGCCGACTTAAACCCCCAAACCCTGTCAGCAAACCCTCCATATCCCCGCCGTAGTCGAAGTCGTCTTCGTCGACGTACTTCGCGGCCGCCATCGCGCGCTCAATTTTCTTCCGCAAAAAGTGGCCCCGCCAACGCGCCTGCACTGTCCGCGCCGCGGCCTCTCGCGCCACGTGTCGCCCCCTCATTCGCCGCACCCGGAAGCCCCGCCAGAGCGCCTGGAAGCGCACCGCGGCCGCTGTTTCCGCTGCCCTCTGGCGGAGCTTTCGCTGCTCCGCCAGTTGAGCGGAACGAATCCGGGCCTGCCTGCCTCTCCAAAGCGCCTGGACTTTCGTGACGAACTCGACTCTCCTTTTTTGCTCTTGCTCGAAGTACCATTCGTTCCGTTGCACGATTGCAATTCCGGACTCGTCTGAGTCCTCCGTCCCGAATCGCACATGCTCTCGAAAGCACTGTTGAAGCTGTTTTAGGAGCGGGCTTGGCGCTTTTCCGTTTCCGGGGGGGACGAACAGCCCGTCTTTGATCCCCCCAACTCCGTCATAAGCGTCGTCCGAAATACCGGCTTCCGAAGCCGTGACCGATTCCGGTCTTTCCGGCGGAACGGAAACCTCACTCCGCGAGCTCGTGGGGGCCGCTGCCGCGCTTTCCCGCGTGGAACGCGCGAGCCGAGCCCTCCATTCCGCGCAGAAGTGCTGGTGCCGGATTCCGGCGGATGAGGCAGCGGAACTCCGCCCGGCGAAATGCCCCTCCCTCTCCCCGAGCTCAACAGCCCGCAGCACCCTCTCCCAGAGCAGCTTTACTCGTTCCGGGGGGTCAATTTCCGCTGGCGAACCCACCCCCGGGTCCAGATCCACTTCCTCGGACATACTATCAGGCCCATCAGAAACCGTGATCACTCTTTGTCCCTGGGGGGATCCCCCGGATGACGGCAGCCTCGCCAGCAGACACGTCAGCAGGCCGGAGCGACCGGTAGAAAGGCTCCGGAGGACGGTTTCTCGCAGCGTATCGGTGACCGCTTCGTTGTCGAGTTCGCGAAGCCAAGGCACGGCGGAAAGGACGGCGGATGGGTAAGAGGAACCGGGGGAAGCTACCGGGTTGTCGTTAAGCTGAAGGGAACGCAGAGAGCGGAGGCAACCGAGGTGGCGTAGATCGCCCGGGTTGGAGATGCAGTTGAAGGAGAGGTCAAGCACCTGAGGAAACGGGTTAAGGGTTAGGTTAGCGGGAAACTCTAGCTATGATGCAGATGAAAGAATGATTGAGGACCTGGAATTGGGTTAGGAAGCGGGTTGAGGGGAAACTTTGGGTTTAAAAATGAAGAAAGAAGGTGGCGGGCCGGTGCGAATCGTGTTGAAAAAGGGGAGACGGAAACGATATCAACTGAGGATCCAAAGCGGAAGACGGGGACGCTTAAAAGCGATGTCAGCATCTGCTCGTCCAAGCGTCGAACTTTCCTAAACACGCTGAGTTCGATCGGAATATTTCGCAACCTCCCCATGCAACTTTTTCTGTTCGTCCTCGTAGACCAAAACCGTTCGCTTCAGTGTACGGCTCTTCCCCTGTATTGAGCAATTGCAACTCTCACCGACATGATTGACAGCGTCGAAAAGCTCACAAGCAGCCTGCTTCCATCCGTGAGCCGCCGAAAAGTTGCATCAGGAACGACTCTGCCCCTGATCACGCGGAACCAGCAAAGCGGAAAACTCAACACAACTGTCAAACCAGAAGCGACACAAAGAGCAAGAACTACTCACCTCTAGATTGAGGCAACCCCACAAAGGTCCAACGGCCTCAATCGCATTGTCTTGCAGGTAGAGCCTCTGCAAATTCGGCAGCCAGCTCAGCGCGTCTAGGCGCCGGATACCGTTTCCGTTCAGCCACAGCTCGCGCAGCAGAACGGAACCCGGCAGGGCGGAAGGGGAGGGCAGCTCCGTGATCTTGTTGGAGGACGCCACGAGTGACGTCAGCAACGGGCAGTGGCGCAGCTCGAACCAGAGGGAGAGTCCGCGGAGCCTGCGGACGGAAAGCGGACGGAATGACGAGCGGAGTTGAAACGGAACCCCGCGAATCGAAATCACGCTAGAATGTTTTCAGAGAGGCAGTCGCGAAGCTCGATGACCTCAGGAACCGAAAGTGGACGGATCCTAGAAAAGGTTGCAAGGCCCTCCGACTTGGAAACGAGCGATCTTATCTCACACCGAATAGTGATTATGACAGCCCGTCCTTCACAAGAACAACGACACAACGTTTGGAGAACCAATTCAAGCGAGCCCAATCGCATACGCACACCGGATTGGAGACGTCAGCATATCACGTATAACCTGATCTTGAGAGGTCCGTCGTCCTCTGAAGACGCTCACTATGTTGTTCTCGCTCATCAGGGCAAAACAATTTCAACAAGCGAGTTCCTCAAAACAACGCTCACTGGTTTCTAGACACGTCGAGCACACGTAACCTCGGCAGCCCTTGTAGCGCGCCCTCGAGCCGCCGGATCACGTTTCCGGCCAGCTCCAAAACCTCCAGGTTACCGCAAACCCCGCCCAAACCCTGGACGCTGACGATGCGGTTCGCCGACAGGCCGAGCTCCGTGAGCGACGGCCAGGCGAACGGCGCGGGCTTGCTGACATCACCGGTTCTGCTGGCGTCATCACCCGTGCTGACGTCAGCAACGCCCATCTTACGGGCGAAGTCGACCCGCTTGATGAGGTTGGCGTCTAACCGCAGGACCTGCAGAGCCGACAACCCTTCCAACCCCCGGAATGACGTCAGCTGGTTATCCCTAACCGACAGGGTCTCGAGCGTACGCGCCAAACCCTCCAGACACCCCTCGAGCGTCTTCAGCCGGTTGACGTCTAACCGGACGAATGCCAGCTGCGGACACCACTTTCCGAGCTGTCCGTTCGGACCCAAACTCCGCAAACCCTCAAGCGCCAGATCCAGGGTTTGCAGCCCGGTTAGCGCTCCCAAACCTCCGGCGAAGGCTTCAAGCAGCGACTTGGTTAGCACGGAACCCGCTTCGGTTAGCGCGGACCCAGTCCGAGCTATACTGGCGTCAAGAGCCGCAAGCGCCGCTTGCGACTTTCGGGAGCGCAGCCCGTCCTGGGCCGCCACGTCTCCTTCTTCGTCGCTGGAGGGATCCCCCTCTCCCTCGTCCTCGCCGCTGACTTCGCCTTCCATTGGTTGCTTGTCCAACGGCCTATGTACACACTTTTCAGCTTTCCCGGCGATCGACGGCGCAGATCGAACTGACCGCTGCCAGTTCCATCGCAACCGTTCGATTGCGCTCCAGTCCATTTGGTACGGCCATACGGGTACCCCTTTCTCTGCGCCCAAAACACTCGAATCCTCTAGCCCACCGGAACCGGAACCAACTCGCGCATCAGCCGACGCATCCACCGTCCCCCCCTTCCCACTCAGGCTGTTCCACCCCCCCGGCGCATTAGCGAGGAACTGATGCTTCCCTTGAGAACCCATGGCCAGCGCCGTGAGGATGACGTCATGCTGAGGTTCTCGCGCCGCATCGCAACCCGCAACTTCCTCTCGTGACATAGGCTCGCCCCTCGTATTGCGCTCGAAGACCCCTCCGAGACCGCCGGCGTCCCGACAAAGCCGCACGCTTTTCTCCCTTTCTATCGCCACCCTCAGCTTCGCCAGCAGTTTCTCCGGCACGCCCAATCCGACGGCCTCCCGTTCGGCTATTGACACTTTCTCTTCCCCGCCAGCTGCTTTGCCCGGCTGCTCTTTGCTGGTGTGAATGCCCGCTTCGCTGCCGCATTCGCCTCTTACTGCGGTCTTAAAAGCCTCCAACGCCAAACGCACTCTCGCCGCCTGCACTCGTTTCGCCTCTCTCACCTCCCCCACTAGATCCAACTCCCTCGCCTCCTTAACCCAGTTGTCAACTCCCTTTTTGCTCCCCCTCTCAGCAGCCGCCGCTAACCCCTCCCTGGTTAAAACTAACCTTTCCGCCAACGCCGCCTTTGCGGACTCGATTCCGTCGTTCCGTCCCCTCTGCCGCAATGCTCGAGTCAGCGACACAAAGCGGGCTCTAGAACCCGTTTTGGCAACCTGGGTCAGCTCGTTAATCCAGATCTTGACCTGATCTTCCCACCTGCTCTCCGCTGCCCTCGCCGCGTCGCCCATGTCCAACCTGAGCGCCTCGCTAACCAACCGGGTTAAGTCTTCCTGACCCCCAATTTGCAGCTCGATAACCCGGGTTAGCCCCTCCAAAACCCGTTCTCTCCTGAGGTTCATAACCTCCTCTGCGTCGTCAACCTCGTCCAGCAGCCCAAACCCTCTAGCCTTCCGCACGGCTTCCTCGAACCCGCTGGGACCTCTAAAGCTTCCCGACTGGGCCGTTTCTTGCAGCTCCCGAACCGCTGCGAGGTCCCTCGTTACGACATCTCTCTCAAATTGATCGAGTCGCCCTTTATTCACACCGAGAGATCGCGCGTCCCGCATGAGGGCTAGGAGGTTTACGAGCGGTAAACCCTCATGAATGCCGCCCTCGATGCCGGCGAGCTTCGCCGAAACCCGTTCGGTAAAATTTGCTTCAGCGGCAGCGATCTGCAGAGCAACGTTGGCTCCATTTACGGTCCGTCCAAAGCTTATACGGTTTTTACTGGTTTGGGAGGTCCTTTGCTCAACGTCTTGAAAAGTTGCTGGGCTCAGCCTGTTGCGTGCAGTGGATTGAATCAAAATTCAGACTTCGGAGAAGCTCAGTGATAGTAACCCCGTCAACGGCGCTGGAGCCTTGGACCGGCGACGGTCGAGCAATGACTGCTTTGCCGACTCAAGAGATGTAAAATCGATCGAGCAGGAAGAAAGAGCCCGTGGCTCGACGGAAGCTGCACCATTTGGGACTTTGGACGTCAGTACTGCCTGCATCCTATGAACTTGGTGGGACTGCTGCTGCTGGAGGTGCACGTACTTGAACGGAAGCTTGTTCGACTTGCAGATCCAATGTAAAGAGGAAGAAGCTCCAAACAACCAGGAAGACCGTACGTTCTGAGGAAAAAGAAACTGGAGAGTAAAGGAATTATGGACAGCCGCGAGAAGCTGAAACAGATGGGAGAAGAGGTCAGAGCAAGGACGCTCACCTCCGCCTGCGCCACCCCTGCGCTGATCGCCCACTCTCGTGCGCGCTCGAACTCGTCCCGGCTGCCGTCAGCCGCCGCTGACGTCACGGCGGCACGTGCCTCCTCCACGCGCGAGCGCGTCCTTCCGATGGCGGCTTCCGCTTCGTCACCGAGCCCCATGGCGCGCGCGCGCGCCCTCCCTCGCTCGAGGCCCCTGACGTCATTCCGGGCTTCGCAGCGCTTTAGCAACTCCTGAAAGGTGCAATCATGGGACATTTGTTTTTGACTGCTTGCGTCTTCCTGTGCTTGCGCCTCCGTCGTGAATAGTTGCTACCTACTTTGAACCCCACTTCGATCATTGGTCCTGGCATTCGTGGCACCATTTGTGCAGAACACTTTCCGGGAATGCACCAAGGTTTTCAGAGCGCAAGTCAAAACGGTACTCCTGGAAAAGATCTTACGAAAGGTCCACGCCTCGGTAGAAATACCAGGGAAGCAGAATGAATATACGAGAGACAGAACAACCTGGCTGGCGAGGCGCAAGGCAACAAAATACAGATCAGCCACTCACGGTGACGTTTTCTCTGCACGAGAGGAAGTACTTTCGCCGTGCAAGGCACCCCCGAACGGCAGCTTGGATACGGACGGCGGCGCAGATTCGGACGCGTGTCCGGTAGGCCCTGTATGCCCGGACGATCCGCTTGGCTGCAAAGGCTTCCCTTGCGGCTCGCTCTAGTTGCGCTTGGATCGCCTGTACATCGAGCAGAGAGGAACGGTTCACGGATGCTTCAAGATAGCTTTTTCATTTACTTGTGAAGTCAAAGTTTGAATTCATAGAAGGAGCGCTTTGCTTACATTCTCGTTTCTCCGTCGCTTATTTTCTCAGCTTTTCGCCGTCCTCTGGACGCAAAAGATGGAGGCGCGTAGCCCGCTCTTCTTAGAGTTGATCTCGACAGCGTTTTACGCGCACTTTCGAAAACGCTGGGGAACGTCGCTATGTTGAATCCCTTCCAACGAAAAGAACACAAGACCAACTCAAGAGTCAATAGCACCTGCCTAAACTGATTCCTCCTTTTTGCCTCCGGGATTCCCCTCGACTAAGCGCGCAGAAACCTGGAGTGCAAGTAGAACTTTGTCAAGTATCTCCTGCCGACAGAAAAACTTGTAAGAGAACAGGATTAGCAAGAGAAGAAGGTTCCCCGCACCTGTAGTCGCCGTTCCCTCTCTTCTTGCCGCTGCCTCCGCTCCTCTTCCTTTCTCCTCGTCGCAGTTTCTGCGGCTGCGCGCCTAGCTTGCTCCCGTGCTGCCTCGTCCGCTTGTCGAGTCAGCTCCTCTCGGCGCGCCAGCTCAATTGCTGACGTCATCCTGTCGTGGTGGTGCTGGAGGGAGTCCAGCTGGACTTGGTAATCCAGGTCCAGGATCTGGCAAAGACTTCTAACTCAATAAAATACACTAAACGTCACCTCTATGGTTATGAAGTTTAGATGTGAGGGTATCTGGCGGTGTCGAAACTCTGAGCTTCACTGGCTGCTGTGGATCGAAAAGAGACATTTATGCAAGTTAAAAACTCCCGACAACGGAAGGTGATAGACTTCCACATTTCCAGGTTTCAGCATGAGGGGAGCCTCTAAAAAGTTTCAACCGAATGTGTTACAGTGTCTGGTCGGGTCAAAATTTGGAGCGCCTTGGCTGATCCTAGACTCTTTTGTGGAACAGTAGGTGCCTAAAGGCTGGACTCATTGGGTGCTGATCACTGCTAAAGTTCACAAACCACAGACCACAAACTCGATTCCTCTCAAAGACGTTACTACAACTATCGCAACACCATATGAGATTTCCGAAAGACCTCGCCCTGCATGTCATTCTCTGCCTCCCCCCGAAGGCCGCCACCTATCAAAGAGCAGAAGACATGCACCATACACCAGATCTGTGCTTGTGGTTATGCTGTCGCTTTTTAACAAAGTAGTTGCCATGCTCTTTGAAAAGGGCACAACCTCACCTCTGCTCGCAAGTCCCTGGCTGGCGCCACTGTGCCTTCCTTTTGTGCCTCTTCAACTTCTTGCATTTCCCTGCGCTCTAGTTCCGTCGCACCTTGCAGCGCCCCTCTCTTTGCACCACTCTTCATATTCTGCTGCATGGCTGTCCCAGCCTGGTTGGCATCTAGAGGCTCCAGGTTCAATCGAGACGGTTGCTGAGCAACTGGCGAGGGGCTGTTCCCCTCAGAGTCAGGGTTCATTTGCACCAAAAGTCTTTGCGCAGATACACCTCCAGCGCTTGGGCTACTTTTGGTGGTGGCCTCAGCATTGTACCACCCCTCCGAATTGGCTGATTGTTGCGGACCCCATAGGTTGCTTGCAGAAGCATCTCGAGAGCTGCCCTCAACGCAGGATGTGGAGACAACGTCAGGCCCTCGATCTATTTTTTCTTTTGATGGTGGGGATGAGTTTTGTGAGACTGGTGCAGCTAGCTGGGGTTCGATGGCAGGTGTGTGCTCTGACCGTGGCTCAGCTGCTACGTATTTTGCAAAAGGCTCAGTTTGAGCGTGAAAGGAGATGGGGTGAAGCAGCTCAGAGGAAGCGGCAGCTTGACGTCTATTCGGCCCTTCCGACCCTTCTTCCGTGGGTTGAGCCCTCTCTTTGAGCACCTCACCAAGCGACAGGTGAAAAGCATCCAGCTTCCTTTCCCTTTCTTTCAGGAGAGCCTCCAACTTTATGAATGAGCTCTTGTTCTTCTGAACACCGTCATTGCGGGCCTGCTGGTCCACCGCTCCTGCTTCTGATGCACCGTCAGAAAGGGCACTACGATCAGCGAAGCTATGCGCCGTTTCATTGGCTCCACAAAGCCTTTCTTCAGAAGAAAAGGAAGAAGGCGTTTGCTCCCCATCTGTTGGAGTCTGCAATGCATCCAATTGTTTTTGAAGCTCTGCCTCGACATCCCAATCGTCGTCTGGGTCGTCCATTTCTGCTAGCTAGCGCTAACATGAAGGTACAAACCAAGACACATCGGTTGAGAAGAGATCCTAGCAAAGAGCGAAGACGCGAATTGGACAATTTGAAAGCTAGCCAAGCCAGCTCACCAGCGCGAATTGACCTTCCAGAATTAGGGTTTGCGCGCTCTACTGTGCAGAGACGCCAATGTTTGCGCCAGCCTAGAAGCTAACCGATACTGTTACTGGTACCGGTAACTCATGTGGTACCCCCGAGTGGAGCCAAGCAAACAAACGGAACACTCTTAGAACCCAGATTTTCGAGCGGTGCGAACCCAAACCCAGCCTAACCCCCAGTCTAGACACCACCCGCCCCCCGGGCGCATGTTGGAAGGCACACTCGGTTAATAGGGCACACTGTAGTTACCAGATTGGCTAACAGGAATTGTCAGCCGTCCGATCGCTCTTTGGTAAAGTTGATGATCCGACTGATGACATCATGCGAAGCGATTTACACCGTTGGTCTCCCCAAGATGCCAATACGACGGTTGTCAATCAAGGTAATCATTTATGTGTGCGGTCGCACATGGTCCATGTGGCTACCAATCATTCCATGACGCTGCGCAGCCTGCCTGCGGCCAATGCATACTGGCATGTCGTCATAACCTCACCCAAAGTTCAGGGCGCCGCATTCCCCTGCAGCTACAGAAACTGCTACGGTGTGATCTGCTTGCCAGCCTGCTGCGCAGGATTGGACCCTAGTGATACATCGAGTACCGTACTGGCAAGGGATTTCACCACCTTTTGGTGTGAAAACTTAATTTCGTTCATCTTGAGGTTTCACCGGGCGGGATGAGAATATATTTTTCATTTCACACAAGAGCCTTTTTTGATTTTTCCACACTGAAAATAGTCCGAAAAGACATTTTCTTCATAAATTTATTGTTTCACCTTTTCACAGTCGGGGTGACATATACTTTCAGAATTTTCACACTGACCCTAAAATAGTTTATAAAAGTTGATTTCCCTTGCCGGTACGGTACATCAAGTTATTTAGTAGTGGACACTGGCCACACCGGAGAAAGAAAGAAGAGACTGAAGGCATTGCATTTGGTCGATGATCCTACCTACTTTTGCATCGATCAGCATCTTGTTCTCCCCACCACCAACACAAAACCCAAGCTTTCTGAACTACAGCTAAAGGTCTGGGGGGATCCTAGTGGCGCTTCAGCGGGTGCAGGTGCCGCTCTCTTCGGCGAGCGCTTCGACTGGTGCTCCTCGCCAGCTGGTATTGAAGGACTCTGACCTCCGACCTAGCAATCTTGAGGTGAGCAACAACGGCCCCCATCGACCAAGGGACCTGAGGGACCTGTTGCGACTGGCTTGAGGTTGGCCTCGAGCAGCATTGCGTGGTCTGGTCAGCACTGTGCCAAATGCCAGTTTTATGGGTCAGCTTTGATCTCAAAGATTGCTGCTCTGAGCTGCATTCCAAAACGTTTGTCTGATGCATCTCCATGTACTCTGCTGGATAATTCCGGCTGTCAGGCTGTTCGGCACCTGAGGTTCAGTGGAATTGAGAAGCCAGCTGTAGCATTTCTTCTCGGTTTCATTTTTAGCACGCACTTGTTTTAGAACCAATCTTCATTCCTCCTTCTGACAGGTGGACCAATGGCTCCCACGCCAGCAATGCTTCTGGGCTTGCTCCTCTCCGTGTCGCTCCATGCTGCCAGCGCTAGCCGGGCCCTTCTTCAGTCCTCTCCTAATACCACATTGACGGGACTGGTTGGAGGAACTTCTGCTTTGGTAAGTTGTATACAGCAGCTCAAGTTCTCTTTTCACTTTGGTTTTGCCTGCACCAGACTGACTTACTAATGAAAAGCCAGATCTGGAGAGGTTTGCTGGAGTGATCTGCCTGGGTGAGTCATAGGGGACCACCTTGAATGGACCCATTCGAGGCATCGGTGCTTTGGCCCATTTTTCACAGCTTACTCAAGCAGCAAACCAATGGCAGCTTGAATCCCGAACAAGTCACTATGATCCGCAAGGGAATGATGAGGACAAAAGCTTTGACACTAAGAATCAAGCAGAGCTAGCTAGACTGTCGTTTGTGCTCCTTGAAGGAGCAGTGATGTACTCTGAGACTGTTGGAGGAGAACTGTGTCAGCATTGTGCGAACTGGAGTTGGTCCGCACAGTCCCAACTGAATTCTCTGAAAAGTTTTGATGTTAGTAGACCAAAGTTTTACCTGAGACTTGTGTAGTCAAATGCCAAAGGGGAGCCAAGATTTAAAACTTGAGTGAGTTCTCGATGAGTGTGCCCTTGTTCCTAATGTCAGCACTGCAGTCCAGCTGAAAGAAGGCGGGAGGCCTTGACTAACAAATCAAAAGGTTTGGCCAGTTCTGCTCATGTCAACATTCAGATCCTCAAGACATAGCTCTGGCTTCCAAGCTCAAACTCTCTTCATATAATGAAGATTGACCAACATTGAGTTCTCGTTTTTGCAGTCAACTCTGCTGTCCGCAGTCTCAACCGCGGGCCTGGCAGATACCTTAGCCGGCAATGGCACGTTCACTGTTTTTGCACCCTCCAACGGTGGGTCCCACTTTCACTAGGTCGCTGATGCAAACACTTACTTGAGGGGCCTACTTATGTGGGTGGAATCCTTTTGCACAAATATTTTCGTGGGGTTGAAGGTTCTGGAGTTTTTCATCCCGTGCGGGTGAAAACACTCCGCTCAGACGACTTACTGGGCCAATCTCAAACACATTTACTGTTTCAACCTCAAATCCTCTTGACACTTGTAGAGGGGATGAGAGTTGAACAACTCGAAGCTGGTAGGATCAAATGGAGCACAATGTGGAGGCAGGTAATGAGCTGTTCACCATTTTGGCTGTGTACTTTAGCTCCTCCTTAAAGTATGCAGCAGAATCTAGGAAGTCGCACCAGTGAGTGCTAAGATTGCTTGACTGTCTGGGCATTGATGTGGACATGATCTGGGTGCTCTTGCTATTGAAAGAGTCTGAGAAAGCTGCTTTTGTGTCGATTACCAGAGCGCCCTTGCAGATACTGATACCATGGGTCGGATCTTAGGAACATCCTACTATAAAGGAGGACCCAAAATCTGCATCTGTCTATAAATAAGAAAAACCTTCGTGAATTTCCTTTTGTCGGGGGAAGATGATACTCGCAAGTAAGGTGGTAAATTTAGTTATTGACACCTTGGGTCTTCGTTTGCAGACGCTTTTACCAAGGACATCAAGAGCATCTACTGCATCAAGGACTACGGCTTTGGCGGCAAGTGCGCGAACGCTAGTGACCTGCTTGCAGCACAAAACCTCGGGACCATCCTACTCAACCACGGTAAGCAAGAATCTCTTGGCTTTACAAACGACACTTCGAATGTCAAACACTCTCTCAGGACAGTGAATGTGATGCGGAATAGTGCAGAGATCGACTTGTGGAGGCAAGTTCCGGTTGCCAAACGTTGTATGCAGACTTTACTGCAAGAAAGAAGCAAAAGTGATGTTTTGGACGTAGCTAAGAGAAAGTCAAAAGCAGACCATCGGAAGCATGTTTTAATTGAATATAAACAAAGTCCATCAGACTCGCTGGACCCACTGTCTCTCCGCAGTTGCGCTTTCACAATCAATTTGACGAAAACTTGGCACCAGTGGCACCAAGTTTTGACGAGAATAGCTGAGGACTTGCATCTCAACCTAGATCTCCTCCCTTTCTGCAGTGGTCGCTGGCAGCTTTCCGGCCTCCAGCCTCGCCAACGGAACCCTGCTTAAGACCCTGGGGGGTTCCGTCCAGCGAGTCGTCATCCTGCCCAACGGAACGGTGACAGTTGGCGGCGCGCCAGTGGTTACTGCTGACGTGGCAGCCACCAACGGGCTCGCCCACGTGATGGGCGGGGTCTTATACAGGGACTCGCAGTTCAACGTGACGACCGTCGGGACGTACCTGGACACGATCGCGGACCTGGGACCGCAAGTGACGTCACCTCAGTCGTTCCCGGAGGCGAGGGTGCGTCATCCCGCGGTTTGCTCGGCTTTTTGAATATCAGTGGACTCAATCTCTGGTTTCTTCACGATGAATTCAGGCCGAGTCCCCAAGCTTGAACTTGAATGCACGGTCCGAAATCCCCTAATGGTATGCTTCTAAGACTAGTGCACATATGAAAATGCAACCTGGCTCTTCTACCCCAGAATCCATCCCTCTCGAGAGCTTACCACTTCACTCCAAGATAACCACGCCGCGGGCGTGATCGGTCCGAAGACCCCAGTCTCCACCTTGTGGAATTCTGGGTCCTGCCCACGTCTTCGGATGAGACGTGTTGGCTTCGACATTTTAGCTCCTTGAAAGTCAACATTGAAAAGCAAGCCTCGCAAACAAAGGTAAGCCGAGAGTCAAGTGTGCCCGCATCTCAATTAACTTAACCCGAAACTTGACCCCTGCAGGAGACGCTGATGGCCCAGGACGCTTTGGACAACGTGGACCGCTTCCGCAGCTACCGTCCGATCGTCGAGCGTCCCTCCAACTCTGACGACTCCGATCATTTCAGCCCTCCGGATTTGGCTCGGCTTTACCTAGTAGCTTCTGAACCCCCAAGCCATCTCAACCATCAAGCCATTTGCCAATTAGAACCCTCGTTTCCGCAACATTTTGCAGAAGGCGCTGATGGTCCAAGACGCTCAGGACAACGTCGACCGCTTCCGCAGCTACCGTCCGATCGTGGAGCGTCCGGACGGCGGGTACACATACCCTATGCCGCTCCTGTTCGACAATACGCAGGGGAACCGGGAGTCGTATTGCGTGCCCACGGAACAGCCCAAGTGGACTTACCCGGAAACGACAAACGTGACGAGGCCGGCCGATAACGAGACGCTGGCGTATATGTCGGTAAGGATCAGCTTATGAATACGCTTGGACGTCATCTCATGGAAAAGGTGACGTTTGCGCTTCTGTGAGGCGTGTGCGTGTGGCATCCGTGAGGAGTGTAGCGCTCAGTTGCAAGGAACACGCTGGCGGCTTAACGGAGGGTTTGAAGTATGGGTTTATAAACTCTAAGCCACTGGGGTGTTTTTAAAGGTCGCTTATGCTTTTACAAGTTGCTGATATAACATAACTAGGTACCTGGTGAAATCTTTCTCAGACGTCTTACATTCCAAGACGGCCGACCCCCGAAGGTGGCGACCTCCCGCCAGGGTCGGCTTGATGTGCAAGGTCAACTCATACAGGATCCCGTCATGCTAGACGTCACGCGCGAGGCACTGCTGACGTCACGGCATCTCGCATTTCGCAGGTGATGGAGCTAGCGGCGCTGATCAAGAGCAAGCAGGTGACGTCAACGGAGCTCGTGGACCTCTACACGGCGCGACTCAAAGAGTGAGAAAGTCTGTCCAATTTCAGAAGCTGCTCGAGGTGTGAAACGGACATGTTCAAAACATACGGAATTATGCATTCAAGAAGTGTTTCCCGGTAGCTCACAGTGGCGTTAAACGGGCAGAATTGACCTCGTGCAGATGATTCTCAAGAGTGTCCTGATCGTCTCGATTTGAATCCTCTTCGTCGTCAGCAAAAACTGCTTCAATCGTCACCGGGAAGACTGAAGCTTTTTGGGACTTCATTTTTTTTGTTTCTTCCCTGATTTCTTTCCTGAAGTCACATCCCTCAGAAAAGCTGTCTGGCAAAACCAGTCATTTGAATGTTTTTTGCAGACCCGGACTTGAGAAATCGCGTCAATATCTACAACCTGCTTGCATCCTGAGAAACCTGGCTGACCGTCCTGATACAATTCTAGAAGACTCGACCCTAACAACCTAAAACCCTTCTCATTGCAGGTACGACAACGTACTGGAAGCCGTTGTGACATACACAACCGACCTCGCATACCAGCAGGCAGCTTTGGCCGACCAATTGCTGGCCAACGGTACATACCTGGGACCGCTGCACGGCATACCCTATGGGCTGAAAGACCTCATAGCCGTGCCGCCGTATCGGACCACGTGGGGCTCGGGCGCGTTCATCAACCAGGTCGTACCCAGGGAGGCGACCGTCTACTCCAAGTGAGGCGCAAAAGGTCGCCGTTAACAAGCCCGGTTAAGGACGGGTTCAATTCCAAAGCCAGGAGCGAAGTTACCAGCATTGGAAGAGATTATTTCTCACTGAAAACATCCTTGAGACCGATCTGCACTTCGTGAAGCAACAAATGTTAAAGTCAATACCTCACGTCTGGTTTTCACCACGAAAACCGTTTTGCTGCCAGAGGCAGGATCCGAACGTTTTCCAGATCGCAATGCTGACGCGCGCAGACGTGACGGCTGAAGAATGCTTTTTCTGGGCGACAGATTGACGGCGGCCGGCGCTGTTCTGGTCGCCAAGCTGTCCACCGGGGAGATGGCAACCGGGGACGAGTGGTGGGGCGGCAAGACCAAGTGCCCCTGGAACATCGCGGTCGGGGCGTCTGGCTCTTCTGCGGGTACGAATGCAACTAAACCCACAGTTTCTTTCCACCTTTTTGGACGCTCTTCGGTTTTTCCTAATTTGTGGTTCTTGGGCACCTGTTTCATTAAACTGTTTGTATAGTAGACTCGGCTGATCCGATGAGTATTCGAGTTGCCATAGTTGAGTTGCTGGTTGTTGTGGAACCGGCAGCTTTTAGCAGCTTTTAATTAAGCACGCGGGTACACCAGCTTTCGACCGTTGCTAACCCCTCTACAACCCATTTTGTTCGGCTCGGGTCCCCCTATGACGGCCGGCATGGTCAGCTTTGCCCTCGGTATGGAAACGGTTGACATCTGGTTCTCTAGACCCGGCCGATCTTGAGAATCACGGTAATCCAGGTCCAGTCATTCAAACCGCCTCTAACCCACGTTTAATCGTACTCTGGTCAACTTTAAACATTCTTTTCAGGCCCCGGCGCTGCCGTGACGGCCGTCGAGGTCCGGTTCGCCTTAGGTAAAGAAAATCAGGGGTTCTCCTATCCAACCCGGCAGCTCCTCTGACCCTTCCCAAATCATACTTTCAGGTCCCGGCGCTGCTATTGTCGGGCTCGCCCTGGGTAGCGAAATGGGTTTCACAATCGGACCCGGCGGCTGCGAAACCAGCATGGACCCTTCTCTAAATCTCCCCCAACTCTTCACAAACTCTTTTTTCAGGCCCTGGCGCTGCCGTGGCGGGCCGGCATGGTTGGATTCGCCCTGGGTACTTGAACCGGCGGCCCCATTATCGGACCTGCAACTTTAGAAAAGCTCCGGAAACTTGGGTCTCACAGTTATCTAACCCTCCTGTGACCCTTTCCAAACCCCCTTTGCAGGCCCCGGCGCTGCCGTAGCGGCCCGCATGGTTGGGTTCGCTCTAGGCAACGACACCGGGGGTGGATTTCTCCGGACCATGCAACTCCTGAGATCTCCGGAAACCCGGATCTAACCCTGTGACAAGAGTCTTCTGACCCTTCCTAAACCCTCCTTTCAGGCCCCGGCGCTGCCGTGGCGGCCGGCATGGTTGGATTTGCTCTCGGCACTGAAACCGGGGGTTCCATTATCGGGCCCGCAGCCCAGAACGGAATCTCCGGATTCCGCCCAACGTTTGGGTTGACCAGTCGCGCATACTGCATGGCGCTTTCCCAGACCCTGGTAAGCGCACGCATAAGCTATGCCTCGGCTTATAGCGTATGCCGCTTTGGTCGCCGTAACTTTAAGCTTTTTCGACCAGCATTCTCCTCTTGAGCGTCGATTAAGACCCAGCAAACATTTGCGCTCGTCATAATGTCCTGAGAAACTTCGCAGGAAAAACGAAACGAGAAAGGGAAACGGTCTGCCATTTCGACTCCGAGTTTCTTACGCTCCGTTAATGCTCGCGCGAGAGCAGGTCCAATGATATTTAAGATGTTTTGCGCATGGCTTAGCGATTACTGTCTTACAAGACAAAGCCCTTTGCCTTGGCAACACGACTGACCCTGGCAAATATTTCGTCGCAAGCTTCGCGATATCCGTCCCCTTGAATGTCCTCATTTCTGCATACCAACTTTATTCCTCGAAGTGTGAATGAATTTTTCCTTCAAACATCATCTCGAAGTGCAAAATTGCCCATTCGCTCGAACCTTCCGAAACTGCTCTCAGGGAAATCCACTGCCAAATCCTCATCGAGACACCCGGTTTGTCCTCTCAGGACAAAGTGGGCCCCATGGCCAGGACCGCAGAGGACGCCGCCGTCATCCTTGACGTCATCCGTGGCAAAGACGGCATCGACACGTCAGCATGCAACGTGGCACTGCAAAGCCCATTCACCATTGACGTTACCAACCTGACGGTCGGGTACCTGCCGGATACCCCTGCGGCGGTAGGTACCAAGCCGCCCACCTACCTCCTTTCATATCTCGCAGGATCTAGATAAATCAATCTAGAGTGCAGGCTTATGAGCGGCCATCTTAGTGGACGGGACATGCGAGTGTTTATGCGCTGCGACGAGTCTGCCATGCCCAAGCGAATGACAAGGAGAATTGAGAACAAGACAGCTTGTTCGGAAATTTCTTGTATCCAGAGTCAAGAACTTCCGGCCTCCGCAGCCCAAATATAACAGGTTCTCAAAGCAAGCGACTCAAAATATTCGTTGAATTGCAAGCTCTCGCTCAAAGCTTAGAAGGGCGACCTTTACGAACAACTCACATTTTGGCTACGGCAGAGTTTTCCATTTATGTCTGAATCACTTGTTGATCCCACTTGAACACTCAGATCCTTCCCAAAGTAATTCAAGCTCAGAGTCAAGCACAATTGAGAAAATTCATGGAAAGACGGAGCATGAGAGAACTTCACCCAATCTTACCCCCTTCTATGAACGCATAACCTCGCTGTGATTTTGTGAAGAGTCGCTGAGAGCAGTCTCCTTCCGGTTGCTCTCGAGCTCCTTCGACCAATTCCGCTCCGGAACGTCAAGAGACGATTCCCAACACCGACAACTTTCAACATTCCTGGCCGACACTTGAAAAGCAACTTTTAACCCGGTCCTTAACCCACTTTCGCTCACAGGCCCTCGCGATCTTCAACGAGACACTGAAGATGAAGCTCGTTCCGGTCGCGTTCAAGAATTCCGCTCCGGACTTCAGCGCCCTGTACGAGGTCATCCGCGGAGCGGAAGCCGCGGCGTATTTCGACTACTGGATGCGCAGCGGAAACATCGAGAACAACACCGCACCGCTCCAGTGGCCCGTCAGACTGCGTCGCAGCCGCATGATCCCCGCTGTCGAGTACATTCAGGTAAGGTTTTATGCGCTGAACCAGACCAGAAAAAGGTTCAACTCTGACAGTGGTGAGACTCGATATGTTAAGCGGCTCGAAAACAAATTTAGCTTCACTTCAATGCCGTGTCAGATTCCGCCGCAGCCTCACGATTCCCGCCGTCGAGTAGTATCTTCGGGTATATCAGACCCGCGTCTGACCAACATATAATGGGATCTTGACGAACTTGTCGGAGGGGCCAAAGCCGCTCTTGAAACCGAACACAATCTGTCCAAAACCTTCTGCAGTGGCTCGTGACCAGCAGTCGTCACGTTTCATTCCAGCCCGCTACAATCTGAGTTGTAGAACAAGGTCTTTTGTATTCCAATACGAAGATTGGCACACTCTGTGTCTCGTTAAGGTTTTGAGTATCTTGAGACCTGATCGGAGGAACTGATCTTGGATCCTCAAAAGGCCTTTCCATCACATCCGCCTTGCACTCCTTGCGCGCTTGTCAATGTAGCCTACTGACTGACACGTTCTCCTCCCGATCTCCAGGCGACACGTGTCCGCGGCGTAACCATCACCGAGATGTTCGCCGCGTTTTCCGGCGTTGATGTCTTCTTAGGCCCCGCCACGACCTACACCAGCTATGGGAACATTGTAAACATTCCTGAGATCTCGATTCCGTACGCATTCGCTCCGGCGACCGTTCCGTCCAACTACACGGCGAGCACTCCGCGGAAGAGCCCGCAGAACGTCGGAATCTATGGCCTGCCTTACTCAGACTCCAAGGTACGTCACAATTCCAGTACCAAGTTTAAAGAAATGCTTTGTCAGTACTGGGCTCATTTGGAACAAAGTTGGACAGAAAGGTGGATGCTGCAGATCTCGCTTTTGTTTCTTGGAGTCATGCTTGAATTCTCAAGGCATTGGAGGCTCGTTTACTCGAAGAGGCGTGATGAGCAGGACTCTGCATGCCAACTTTGCAGGTTTTTTGTGCGACTAAAGAGTTGACAGATTTTATCGTACGCTTCTGCGCCTCTTCCGTTCCTCGGCCGTGATTCTTCCCGTGCTTCTTCAATTCTGGCCTGTCTTTTCCTCTCCCTTTCTTCGGTCAGGATCGTCGCATCATTTCCGTCTCCGTCCTTGTCTATCCTGGTCACCTCACTCATTTTCCAGTTCATTAAGGTCTTTGCCCTTTCCCCTGTATCTCTCACGTTCCTCTTTTACTTTCCTTGGTTCCCCTCGCCTAATTTCCGTTCCTCTTCAACTCTTCCACTATACTTTCTCTCGCCTTTCCCTCACTTCTCTTGCACTTCCCTCTTTCAGATCCTGGCCGTCGCGATGGCCTTCCAGAAAGTCAACACCGCCAACCGGCAGCGCCCCCCGATCAACCTCATCGAGCCGGAGGTTCTGGCCAACTGCAGCTCCCCATATAGTCGGTGCAACATTCCGGCCGCTACGGTCGCCCTTCTCAGCCAGACCGGAATCAACAATCCCCCGGTGCAAATCAAGACGTACGGAATGGTGTAACTAGAGGGGGGGCGCGGTTTGGGCGGGGTTCGGACGTGGCTGCGAGGATGTCATTCGCGGCCGCGGGTTCGTCACTTCGGCAGCGCGGGAGCGAAAACTCGAAGAAGACATCACAAGCGCGCCGCGGTTTAGTATGTGGGCAGCTAAATCAAGTTATTGATCGAGTGACAAACACCTGATTGCGCCGAAAGAATATTTAGTAGAAATTCGTTATAGCGGCCGCTAAGAAGCAGATGTCTTGGTAAGGGGTTGTCCAAGTCCCGTTAGGTCAACGATTCGGGCCGGATCTCTGGGTAGCAAAGCACTGCATTGAACACGCGTAGGGTTTTGTCGGTCTCCAGATTTGATAACACATGACGTACGTTAGTATGACGTCGTCGGAATGTTGAAAAGGGCTTAAACGGGTATGTTGCGAAAGTTAATAGGGGCCTTCCACGTGCGGGCGGCGGCACTAAATCTTATAGAGCAGTGGCATTTTGGAGCAGTTGGGGATTCCGTAGCGGCCGTCAAGAGCTTAAAGGTCGCTTCTCCTGACATGCTGAAGAACATCTGCTAAACGCGTCCGATGTGTACGTATCCGAAGGAGCGCAAAACACTGTACACAATGCATTCTGGACCATGAACCAGCGAAGTTCGGAACAGGTTCGAAAACGGTCCAATTGTATTGTTTGTTTTTGAAGATTCCTCCTTTATTCATTCATCTCGTAATAGGCTGTTAGGTCAGCCATGATGCGGACCTCGCGTTCAACGGCTAGGATTCGAAGCAGCTAAAAGAACCGTCGCTTTGTTGAGCCAAACCGCACCGGCTGATCTTGGTCCAGTACGTAAGATTGATAATGAGAAAGATCATGTTTGTATTGCCTGGAAGCGCACCGTGGAGTTACTTAGATCTGGACGCGGTGGAAATGCTGACTCAGATCTCAATCCAATCGAATCGGTACTTCTCGTCAAACATCTGGTAGTAATCGAAGCTAGCCGGGTGGGTTGTGGGATACCGAGTCAAGCGACATTCCCCAGGTTCGACCACGCGACTCGTCGCTCGATTGCGCCTCACAGGATGCGCTGATTCACATTATGAGAAGCCTTGAGTTGTAACCACCGTTAACTCCGCACATGGTGACATGGTATGGGGAATGAAGCAAACCAAAAGAATCGATCATAGTTGGATCGTTCCGGCCGATCCTCCGTTTCCGCGTGTCACATGTTCTTGCGCGAGGATGTGTCTTGTTTTGTGTAGGTCGTCATAAAATCATTTCAAGCAATATGGCCATGAGCGACAGAAAAGCATATAATCTATACAATCATAGTGTTTGATGCGGAGCCACTGTTTACAGTTGCCTTATCAGACATCTGCAGCATACTTTAGCTAGGCCGCCACCGCGGTGCCGATTGCTTTTCTATAAGTCATTGATCATTCAACCGTAAGAGCTCGAGCAGTGGACACTTCGGGGAGAGTCCACCGGTGACAAAAGGCGTTTATCTGGCCCCACAAAGCGCGTGCGCGGCGCGGTGTCGAGTTTGGGGAACGTCCGCGTCCGCAGCACCTCCTGTTCGCCCTGGACCGCCGCACGATCTCCTCCGTCTGCGCCAGAGTTGGTACGAACGACGAAAAAATGAGTTCTGTTCTTCTGCATCCTAGGAAATTCCGCGCCTAGGGTCTGTGTTAATGTGGTGTGGTCTGGGACTGCCTGATTGCTTGTCCTTGAGTGCAATTACAGAGTGTGCCAGACCCACCTTATCTGGACAACCGAAAGGACGATTGAAAGCCACGAATGTTACATCTGTCAAGAAGAAAGAAGAAAGCGATAACTGAGACTCTGAGAACGAGCTACATTGACAGAAAGAGAAAGACAGAAAGGCGAGGAGAGCGGAAAGCAAGAGAGGGGACTTCAGGGAGCCGGACAAGAAGATTGTCATCAAAACAAGGCGAAGTCAGGAGAGGTTCTTCAAACAGGGGAGAGAAATAGAGCTGAAAATGAGTGATCAAGGTGACCAAGTCACAAGAAAGTTGAGGCAGGAAAACAACGCAGCGGCTCTCTGCTTTGCAGGGATTCGCACGAATGTCCGTGTTCCGGAGTGCCGCGGAAGCCGAAGGAACACAAGGGGTGGAGCGCAGTCGAGCACAATCAGAGAAGATTTACTCAGTGAGAGTGGACTCGCATTTGAGAGGAAATGAAAAAGAAAACTTGAGGGACGGAGAGGAAAACCAAGGGACGTCCCACCTTTGCCCTGTAGCTGCCGCTGCTTTCCCGGGCTTTTCATCCGTTCCGTTCCGTTCCTCAACTCCACTTGACGCTGAGCAGGATCTCGCTGATACGCGCCTGCGCCTCGGCCCGCTCCTGAAGCGTCGCTAGCCGCGGTTTGTGCCGTGGGTTCCGCCTATTGCTTCCCGGTCAGTGCCGCACGGTCTTGGAGCATCTTCCTGCGGGTTTTGATTCGTGGGTGAGCCTGGAGAAGACACGTGGCCGGCGGACGATGCACGGAGCATTCAAAAGCGAGCGACAAATGAATGATTCCGATAGAGGAATCTCTCGACTAGAATGTTCTGGACCTCCACGAGCAATCAAGCCTGTTAGCCTCCAGAAAAACTTTCCATGGGATGATGTCGGGTGGACCTGCGATGGCGCGCTAACCAGCGTGCGAGTTGCCTGTGCTTATGATTTGTGGCGGTTCCTCCTACGCTATTCTGATCTCGAACGAGCACTGGGTAATAGTTGCATGGGTTTCGAGAAGCGGAAATTCGAGAAACACTCAAAAGAAGCCGTCCTTTGAGGCAACAGAAAGTCGAGCGCGTCCAAGCAAAGGAGCCAACACCAAAGTACTTTCGATAGCTCCTTAAGCTTTGTGGTTTCACTAACTTTGACTTTCAAGAGCTGTCCCTTGTGCACGCTGTTCAAAACATTTCGCGTGTTTCTGTCACAGACGACAACGCATCCTCACCTGACTGATCTTTGAGAGTGCGCACCGCACCAGACTGACCATGGCACCCTCTCATGTTACCAGAACCTTTCAGCAGGATGGGACCCTGTAGGAAAGCCAGAGTGTTATTATCACTTTGATTATAACAGAATACAGGTTGCATCAAAGCTGATACCGTGTGAACATGCGTGCTGCCCCCTCTCGCCTTCAAACGATAGATCAAAATTAGGCCGTTTGAGACTGTGAGAAGTGGTACCCCAGCGGTAGGTTGAATGCGGATTGCAATTCTGTGAACTGCAACGGACGTGACAGGTCCTTTTCCGTTGGTAGATAAGGGATCAAGTGAGATGCTGAGCTCACCCGGCTCCAAAGCTGACGTGGCTGTGTCTTTCTCATCTTCATATTTAGGGCCTCGATAGGGTCGACGACATGCAGGATACAGAATCTCTGCAGAAAAAGATGCTTCGTATACCAAATAAATGATGCAGCGCAAAAACTGCAGCGAGTTACAAAACTGTCATAGCATTGAGGCAGATTCTCTGCTATTAGAGGAACCCTTTCAAGGATGATGAACATGCCTAAAGGATGTGAAGAGCGAAAGAATGACGGCAACTCCGACAAATATCCCTTTGAAATCTCACAGAGTATGTTTACCAACAGCTTTGCAAGCCTGCTTCTGCCATTGGTCCTGCGAAGAAATTAACAACTGCTGAGTCGACATTCTAAACCTGCGTAAATTTGAGCATCAGAACTTCTTACCCTTGAACCTCCGAGAGGTCTTTGCAATACTGCACTCCGTGACGGTTGCTTTTCGTTCTTTCCCAGGCAGCTTTGTGTGTGTCCCAATTCTGTCCTTCGCAACCATCATTTGGCAGCTAGCCATTCTTTCAGCCCCGTTGGTCTCCTGGAAACCTTGCAGCCCCACGCGAAAGCTTGTCTCTATCTTGAATTCCACTGCTACCTTTCGGAACTTCTCAAGAAGCTGACTTGCTCGTTTGGACACGATCTCCACGATTTGCTCTGCCACATTCTGCTGCTCGGCACAGATCGCATCTGATATTCTTGCTGCAAGCACCTGTTTAAGGAACACCACAATCAGATACAAGAGAAAGACACACCAGCTCAGCATTCATTATGACAGGCAGCAACAAGCGTATATTACAAAAAGCACTTCTTCGAATTCCACGTTCCAGACTTTGCTTTTCGAACCCAAATACACTGCCAACAAATGATGTTGAGCAAATGACGTCGTTCAAAATTCTGAAAAGCTTTGCCAGGTGTGAACACCGTAGACATGTTTAAACAACACACCAAGCACATGGAACAAGGATGCGTAAGCCACCAGCACGAGAATGTTAAAAACGATAGATCAGGTAAGAAAGACTCACTTCAATCAAGCTGTCTTTTGCTTTTGGTCGCCAGCCCAATAATAGCACCTGGATTCTCGTTCTACGAACTTTTGATAAGGTCTGGAAAAGCTGATGAAGTTCTTCTGCTCCGCGTTCTTCGTGAAGAACTTGGCGAATCAGCGAGTGGAAGTCCTTAACCTCAGGGAAAGCAGCATCCGTGTCAATCACGGCCAATAGGGCATCGACAACCACACCCATATTGTCGGTTTGGGCCAAAAGATCCTCTTCATTCAGTTCTTTGCTCGCCGTTTCACTTTTCAGCCCCTCCATGCTGGCGTCTGATTGCTGATAGCCCCTCGTGGGACACGGATCGACCGTGCTAACTGCAAATGCCAATTCTTCAACAAATCACAGACGAACAGGCTTCTTGAAGTTGAAGCATTTAGCAGGTGTTTGGGTGTTAAAAGCCCGCACTCGCACCTAACAGCAGTCGCACGCTTTCCTCCGCCCTTGCAAACGTTCACTGTTCCGACCTTCTGAGGCCAATGAGGTGGCGACGCTGTGCTAACAACTGCGGCCGGTGGCACGCGCTCAATTTCGGCGCCGTCAAACCCTTCAAACCCCTTCGTTCTCGCGCTCTTGGCGCGCGCGCGAAGGGGGCGTCCGTACGGGGCGGCGCGAGTCTCAAAATCCACCCAACTTTCTCGGCCGTCCAATGAGCAGGGTTTATCCGAGCGCCGTTGATCCGAGATTCGGCTGAAAAGTGCAGAAACTGCCCGGTACGTCCGTGCATCTCATAAGCTATGCGCTGTCAGTCGGAGTTGCAGCAAGCTTGCAGTCTGCCACAGGTCCACTAGTACAGTACCGGGGGCACCACGAGCATGTCAAGGCGCCTGGCTGGAAGCGGAAGCGCATTTTGGCAGGAGCCTGAGCAATGCGGCCTTTTGTGATTCCCGTTTCAAGTCGCTCACTTGGAGTTCCGAGCTACACCGGCCTACTTCGGTGCACAACCCGACCATTCAGCTCATGATTAGCGTGTACCAGGAAATGGTGTATTCGTTCTTAGGAATCTGATGGGCCTCTTTTTGGTACACCTCCAGGCTGCAGGGTATGGCTGGGCGGCTGAGCTTATCAAGCATCACTGGCACTGATCCGACCATCCAGCTCATGATGGGCATGTACCAGGAAACGATGTATTACTTCTTAAGAATCTAATGGGCGTTTTCTGGTACATTCTGCAGGGCATGGCCGGGCTCGCCCCTTGAAACGGAATTCCAGCCATCCAGCGCACAATGAGAGTGTACCAGAAAACGCTGTATTACTTTCCCAAGAATCTAATGGGCGTTTTTGGTACAACGTGCAGTGCATGGCCGGGCTCGCCCCTTGAAACGGAATTCTAGCCATCCAGCACACTGTCAGCGTGTACCAAGAAATGGTGTATTAATTCTCTGAGAATCTAATGGGCCTCTTTTTGGTACACTGCCAAGCTGCTGGGTATGGCTGGGCTTGCAGCCCCTCAAACGGAATGCCTGCCATCCAGCGCACAAATCAGCGTGTACCAAGAAACCGCGTATTACTTCTTAAGAATCTAATGGGCGGTTTCTGGTACATCCCGCAGGACATTGCCGGGTCTGCAGAAGCTTTGAGGCCGCTGCAGCTTTCTGGCGGCGGGACACTCGGTGAAGTACAGCCATATGCTTTCGAGTCGGGGAACGATCGTGTGTACCAAGCAATATTACACTTCTTCTCAAAAATCTAATGGGCATTTCTTGATACATCTTGGCAGGCATGGCCGGCCCCTTAAACGGTGTGAGCGTTTCATTTGGGAGACAGCTCAGAGGGAGTCGTGAACGTGTACCAGAAAACGATGTGTTACCTCTTTAGAATCTAATGGGCGTTTTTCTGGTACACCTCCGAGTTGCAGGGTATGGCCAGCCTCGACTTCCAACCATCCAGTCCGCGATGAGCCTGTACCAGGAAACGCTGTAGTACTTCTTTAGAACGTAATGCGTGCTTTTTGGGTACACCCTCAAGTTGCAGGGTGTGGGCAGCAGCTTTGGTCCTGATGGACCACACATGCCAATTGATGGTTATCAGGAATTGGGTTTTTTGCTGAAAAGAACCCGCGTCAAGTTTGCAAGGTGTGGACCAACGTCGGGCGGCCATCGGGCCCACTGCATGACGTTCAACTTTGTGTTCCGGGCATGATGAGCGGAATTCAGGGTTGCTGCAGAGACTTAGGGCCATCGAAACGTGCTCAAACTCACAGCTTTCTCCTCGGTCCCAGGATGAATCCAATGACGGCGTCCCGTGACGAGAAAGGACCCTCCGACATCGTTCTCGTTGCATTGACCACCCCTGCGGCCTCGGCGAGCCTGCACGAGAACCTGAAGGCCGGTCAAGCCGTCAGGAGTTGTGCGGCGGTCCACTTCGAGGGTCCGGCTCCCGTCTTCGGCGACATTAGGAGCGTCCCGGCTGCCATCCCGCCCCTACCAAATGCTGGTGGCGTGCGAGGAGGCCGGCCCTCCTTCGCGGCCAAGCAGGGGGGAACCGACTTCAAGTTCGATTACGGGCTCGCCTTCAGCCTGCGGCCTGCCGGAGCTTTTGCTCGGGGCGGTTTCGGCTCGACGTGCCTTGGGCGCACCTGTGGCGGAAAGGGGGCGGTCTACGCCCGAGGGAGCGAGCCCTTTATCTGGGAGAGGAAACGAAATCGAGGCGGGGCCCTGGTTTGCCGAGGCGGAGGGGGGCACCTCATGTGCTTGCGGTGCGTGGAGGCCGAGTATGAAGCTGGGCGCCCCTTTGTCTCGAGCGCGAGCGGGTGCCCCATTCCTCAGCACGAGCTCTTTACTAAGTATGAAGCCCTCCCCGATTCGAAGGAGCTTCGAGCGGTACGGCCAGGGGAGGACGCAAGCGAGGGCGGCCATCAGTTCTTCGTTCAAAGACGAGATCTCGACCCATGTCCGCACTGTCGCAGCAAGCCCAAGGGGGCTGCCCCAGCAAGGCGTGGTGTCAAGCGAGCGCTTGAAGAAGGACCAAGCCCACGAGAACTCGGCACGGTGGCGGTTCTCTCAGAGATGAGCCGAAGCAAGATCCCACCGATGGCTGTCGCCCCAGGCCTTTTCCTTGTGCCTCTACTCGATGACTCCAGTGGGCGCCTTCTGGACATCTCAACGACGGATCAGGGCCTCGTCAATGTCCCTCGACTTGTCAAGGTTGACCATATGGGCAGCTTTCGGTGCTTGTGCGGACAGAGGGCGTGCCGGGACCACGACATGGCGTTTCTTGAGGAAACTCGGCTCATGGGCGGTTGGTGGCAGGGCGGAGACCCCATTTTCAAAGCCTTTGACGAAAGCCGCCCTTTCGTGCGGGAGATGACGAGCGGCGTGCCTTGGGTTTTGCCACTTGACCATCGGGGACGGTGCTTGGGGGGGGTGTTGCATGGGCTAGACGCGGAGGCGTGGAGAGGCGGGCCGCAGCTGCGGGTCTTTGTTGGGAGTGACCCTGGAGAGGAGCCCGTGGTCTGCGTGCTTGGAGGGGAGACTGCACACTGCAGCGGCGTCGACTGCTCGGGTTCGGAACGCTGCCGGCACCTTCTAAGGGTGCTCTCGAAGCAAACCTTGCCCCTGACAGAGCGCGCAATCGACAGTGGGTGCAATTTAAGCGAGGCAACGCGGGTTTATGCTGAGAGACGCGCCGAGAGAATCGCGCAACGGGAAGCGGGGGCGAGGATGCTCTTGGTCTGCAACGACCCCGTGTGCCGTCCGCCGGACTCGAAAGTCGAGTGCACCCATCAAAAGACTCTCGAGCCCTGGGAGTGTCTCTCGGCGGCGGCCCTCGACACGGGGCACGGCCACAAGAGGGTCGACACTGTCATGAGCCGGGGCGGAGCAAGTGTGACTTGCCTCTGTGAGCGTTGGGGCGAGGAGGGCGTGCGGCGGCGGGACAAGGCCAAGCACTTTTGCGCCCCACGGCCCGCCGAGGCGCTCGCGCCCTACGGCCGGCCATGGCAGATGGAGAGCAGAAAGGCGGCGCTGACGACCGCTGGAGCGCGCTACGAGGTCACTACCTATTGGAGGGTATGCCGCATCGCTCCGGGGAGGGAGGCGGCGTGCTGCTCGGTAATGTACGACGGTCAGGTGGGTATCAACATCCAAATCAATTGCATTTGCAATTCTCTGTCTTCTCCAATCGGGCCATCCCTCTTCTACTTTTAGCTTCACGGGCCTTTTTGAGACCTTGTGGCCCGTTATTCTCCTGAAGCGCTCTCAAAATAACGTTCCACTTGAGATAGTATCGTGCTTTATATGACGGTCTTGGATCCGGCACCCATGGCAGGCCGGAGAGATTACGGATCCGGTCTTGCGCCGAGCATCCATTGTGGTCAAACAACCCAAAACGGTGTATCGCCTTCCAATACAATCATCGCAAACTGCGGCAGAAGAATGAGGAGGGAAAGGCCATCGAAAGCATAGATCGGTCTGCTTACATAACATACATTTTTGCATGGGATACACTTTTGTGCAAGGATGCGGACCTGGCAAAGGCATCTTTGTTGATTGTGGATAGTGGTGCAATGATGTTCCAATGTAAGCGTGTGCGTCCTTGCACGTACATGCGGCATTTGAGAGGTCTTCAAGATCAAGCATTCCATTGTGAGCAATGATGCTGAGCACGGACCCAAATTGTGCGTTTGCGTTCATGCCAATATTTGACATTTGCACTAGCCTTTAAATGAAGAAGGCCATCTCAAACGCAATGATGATTGACCCTCTTGACTGCT